ACTGAAGCCTTCAAGTATTCAACAGATACACTTGAATGGTTTCAGAAAATTATTAGAGAAAGACTGGGCAGAAACCATGTGCCGAGGGAAGTAGGGAGTCGGCTCATTCACGAGATATCRACAGTCATCGCATATCGAAGACTGCTCCTGCGCTTCAGAGAAATATGCTCGTGATGAGTTAAAAGTTTTTGTTAGTTTTGCCTTGATGTATTTTGATTCAAGTATTGTAAGAAATTTCATCATCCAATGAAAATTTGGAATTTGATGTTTTTCTACTAGATTAGTTTTTGTTCTTCACAAGTGTGTCTAGACTAGACTATGTTTGTTATTTCATTACTTAGGGGGAGATTGTTAAACCCCACAATTCATAATGTAAAAAGTAATGAAAAACAATAAGCGATGAAGAACCAGAAGACCAATGAAGACATCAAGGCATAAAGACTAAGTCTGAAATTCAACCAGAGGACCGATGGACAGTCCAAGGATGCGATGGAAAGAGCATTCTCATCGATCCTCTGGTCATCAATACTTAGAAGATTTTTTAGCAATTCATCCAAGCATGCAATGAAGATAAGGATGAAGTCATCATGAATGAGATTTTTCATTACTTTTTACATTATGAATTGTGGGGTTTAACACTTTGTGGGTTCTAAACGCAGTTTTATGAACGTTATCCTCGCACATCCGGATTTGATGATATTCCGACTTTAAATCTAATTTCGAAAAACAACTTGCAACTCATCTAACAGTTCTTCAGTTACGGGAATGTGAAACTTGTCTGGCACCGTCCCTTTGTTTAGGGCCCTATAATCAATACAAAACCTTCAAGTCGCCAACTCCCGTCCTTTTTTTACGAGCAAAACGGGGATTGAAAAAGAGCTTTGGCTATGTTTAATAATACCCGCTTCTAACATATCCTTGACCAACTTCTCGATCTCATTCTTTTGGTATTGGAACAGACTTTGCTCCTTTTCCCCTATTCACCGCCTTGTTTCTTTCCTCCATCGCCTTGGTTAACCCTAAGAGCTAGAGTAATCTTACTTCGCCCTTTTCTCTGGAGCCAATCCGTTTTATGAATTGACTGTCGAAAACCTCTTCTGGAATACCATCTAATGGGGGCATTCAATGCCACATGCCTCCGTTTGTAACCTTAGATAGAACCTTCTTGTTTGACCGACAAAAATTGCTCACATAAAGATCCTTCTGCATGTGATCTGGATTGAGCCAACAGGAGGTTTTTGAGTTCCTCCCAATTTGTTATAGGCCGTCTCTTATGTTCCGATTTATACCACCTGAGTGCGTCACCCTCAAATGCAATCATGGCCACCTCTAAACAAAGCAAACTTTATGTGATTCAGGCTCTAACATTTTCTTGCATTTAGGAGGGGACTGAAGGGTCAAAGTTCTAGACATTCACCTTTAGACTTTATTGCATGCTGCCTGGAAGGCTTAAGTTTGCTTTTGTTCATGTGGAGAGGGCATTTTTCCATGTACTTAGTGGGTTAGTTGGTTAAAGGTGCCAGATGCCAAGGTTATTTAAAGAGTGTTCTACTTTGATGAGAAATGGCATATATCCCAGTTGGAGAAAAGATGTATCTCTTTCTTCTGGATGCCAGAACTTGTAATAAATGGGGGTTAAAGCAAATTAATAAATAAATGGGTCAATCTGGGTTATAGTCCATCTATTTAGATTAGTTGGGTCATGGATTATAATCATCATATCACAAATTATCAGCTAATGGATTAGACACAATCCATTTTGTTGGGACATATCTTAGATTGTATTATTTGCTGATCCAATCCAAATATGACCCATTGACATACCTAGGTTGAAGGATTTTGTAGTGGAAGACCAATACGGGTTAAGTTGATTCTCTATGAAGATCTTGAATATTTGCTTTTGATGTTACTAATAAGTTGATTCTCAGCAGTTTGTTTCTTGCATCTAAATTCTTACATCACCCAGACACAACATTCTTCTTTTCTCCAATCTTAACAGCTGAAGACAAACTTAATTTGTGGAGTGGTGGGGAAGGGGGGTGGGGAAAGTTGTACATATTGAATAGCTATGATTTATGTACTGTGTAAACGTACTTCTTTGACCTAGCAATAACTTGCTAATATCTTGTATACAGGCCACTATAGCGAGGTTAAAAACCACTTGTTTCTGGGTGTAGGTCTATACTGCCATGGGCTTAGCCTTGTGTCCAGGGCTGTCTTTTCAGAGATGGTTTCCCATGCGGTTTCCATTGATAGTTTTGTATGAACTAGAAAAACACCTTCTCATTTCTATCAGTTTTGTGTAAGAAAGCATTAGTAGACTCTTGTGGGTGTAATTGGTTTTCATTTGATAAACATCTGCTATAACCTTCATTTTCATAGTGGGTTACTCACCATCTCTGGTGGCCGCGGTGTTTTTATACCTCTTTTCATGGGTATTAAATATACGCATTCAATTTCTTTGCATCTTTGTTTGTTGTTTTACCACCAATGATCTCAACACACTTTAATCCATCTGTTCCATGATAGCAATGGAAATCTCTATAGTTCTTTATCCCCACATAACTTACTTGAAACAACCTTTTATACAATAGAGACTAAGCACGGCTTGCTTCTTGTTGTCCAATTGCTATTCTTATTAAAGTACAGCCAAATTCAGCTGTTGGGATGGTTTATTGCTTTCTTTAACATCTTATGAGAACCATGATAATCAATTCGCCCTATTTAACCTCTTTCAACTCACAAGGGTCATGTTGGGTTGGCATTGTATCTTTCTCGTTTCCCATCCTTCCTGACCGAATTTCAGCAATAATTCTGCTTTTGTTGTTGTCATGTTGATAATGCCAAATTTGTGGATCTTTTGCATCTTCTCGGAATGGATTATTGATTTACTTTATTGTAACATATGGAGTGTAGAGGAGCATCCTGTCTCCAACTCGTGCATATACTTATTGTTCTCCCTTCTACCTTCAGGCAATTTTTGTGTTTGGATTCCATGTCCCGCTTTTCATGGATGGTGAAACCACCCATCAAGGGAAGTGGCGCTTGTGGACGGTTGATGAACTATTGTTGACATGCACCTATGGCTATATTCTTTGTGTGCATTACTCAAAGTGGAGAGATAAGCTACCTCGTAAGTCGCTTCTCATTCTAACAATCTCCACTTCATTCTGAATTTATACATCCTATGTCCTAAAACAAGTGTCCACATTTCTATTTTAGTTAGTCCAGGAATAAGTATCCACTTCACATTCCAATTCTACTCTCAATCATAAGATGGAGAAATTCGTTACTCCCTCTGTAATTAATTAATTAAAAAATGTAATAATTACACATTTATAAACTTGTGTGTCATTTTCATTGTGGACATTTATTCTGGGATGGAGGGAGTAGTATTTGTTCGTAATTTGCAAACCAGTATCTAATGGTCCATCATCTTTATGCAGCTAGACCAGCGTTTTACAATTATGTTGTTGTCATGTTTGCGATCACTGGAGTTGCATTATTTGGTTGTGGGCTTGCTGCAGTCGGCGTGGGATTTGGGCTTTGGTACCAAAATACAACTATATTATAAAAAACATTGAGCAAAATATCCATTTTTTATTTCTCACTTTGACAAGGATTTCTCTCATATAGACCAAATACAACATGCACAAATCGGTTGATTGTATTTGATTTATTCCGTTTTTGCAGGCCATATAGTATCGTCGTGATCTGCTACCACACTCTTTACCTTCCCTTTGTGTATGTAACTTTCCTCAAAGATTTCTTCCAGGTATATAACTTTGTCTTGGATTACCTTTGAAGACTGCTGTTTTTCTTCGACAAATAATATGATTTTTGTGTGTTCTCAGGAGGAAGACTTGCTTTTGGATAATGCTTACTACTCTGAGATGAAAGATGCCGGGTTCTTCGATTCTGACTGGGAATAAGGTTTGTCGTGTTCACCTGACAAACGATAAGTGATCGTTGTCTCTCAACTTTGTAGATAAATTATGGGACACATCACATGTAAAGTAATTGTACTTTTATGAACCTGTAGTTTGACTTGGATAAAGCACACTTAAGAGCCTGTAACACGTATAGCTTTCTGACTTATTTGGGATCGAGTTTGCTATCAGTAGACAGTGTCCTTTGGGAGTGTCGACGATTGCTTGTTTTGGTTGAGTAATTGGGACCTGATAAATGTTTTTTTTTATTAACCTGGATATCCAACCCGCTAGGCGAGCCGACTAATCCCAGGGGGACCACCTGCTTGGCAGATATCCCGGAGTCACCGAATTTGAACCTCCGTGGCCACAAGGGGATTTTTATTCCTCCTTGGATTTAAACCTGGGACCTCCTGGTATTTTTGACCTTTAGAGTCAAGCTCAAACCAATCAGGCACCACCCTTGTGGTTGTGGGCTGATAGAACTTAAAGTCGACTTTTTCAAAGGGTTTCATAGAGTGCTTGGAAGTAGACGATTTAGTCTTTGTTACCTGAGAAACTAGTATATCTCACATAGAGGTATGATCTTGGGGTAAAATGTACGTACATCTTGCTACAGTTGCATTTACGCAGTGTCCTAAGACATAAATTTCGCCTGTTACAGCGAACGTATATAAGCCAGACTTCATCTACAGAAAAACTCTCGTTTTTCTCTGCAATTTTCTGGGTTTTCTTCATCTTTTTCATCGCCAAACATAAGTTTGATTCGCTAGATTCAGTATAAACTTGAATTTGATTGTTTTATCGTCTAGACGGACACTGTACTGGCATAATTTCTGTCTTACGACACTGCATACGTGCAGGCTTCAATCTAATACTATATTTCTACAAGGAGGGGTTAAAAATCTTAATTAGTAAGAAATTCTCATCTGTATCAATTATTTGTTGTTTATTTCGTGATTTTATACAAGAATTTATGATTTTGTTGCTTTTATTGATTTATATATACACAAATCTATTGCTGTTGATTCATCACTGGTAACAAGATCTAATGGTTATTATTGAGAGAAAGAAAGGCAGGACTATCTGACAAATTTTTGCCATTATACCCGCAAACGCTATCCAACAAAATTTGGTATCATCACGGTCTATATAACTGATATATTCATATTTACATTTTATTTAAAAATAAAAATATTATTATTTTTTCAAAAACATATAAAATTGTATTATGACATCGACTGAAACAAAAAAAAAAAAAACACTAAAATCAAGATGTATCTTATTGCATTGTGCGAGTTCCTATAATATATACATAATATATGTTTGATTTTATAGATTTAGATCATATAAATTAATTTATGAGGAGTTCCATTTTGGTGTAATGACATTCCTACCCAAACAAAAAGGACTATGTTCCAAGATATACCCGTTAGAAAGAATCCAATTAACCAAATTTAAATGCACTGCCCCACCCGACAGTAGTACTTACGCTGCCGGAGCTCCTTGTCAGCCCTCCACCTCCACCCCGCCCCACCCTTTTCAAAAATTTATATTTATATATATATATAGAGAGAGAGAGAGGGTTTGTTTCACATACAATCCGTCGCATTTGTACAACTAATGCAACCCAATAAATTTAGATATTTATGAAAATAATGAGAGTTCATTTATTATGACTTGAATATTTATGGAAAATGAATATGGTTCATTAATTATGATCAATACTATAAAAAACAAATCAAAACTTCTATGAAAATACATATTAATCAAATAAAATGGACGGTTGAGATTGAGTTGTATTGGTTATACAAATATCAAGGGTTGTATAATAACCAACCTCTCTCTATATATATATATATATATATATATATATATATATATATATATATATTATACAAATATCAAGGGTTGTATAATAACCAACCTCTATATATATATATATAAAGGTTATTAAATTTTATAAAATATTACTTTGTTCAAGTAATAAATAATTTACATATTGAATTATTCTAATAAGGCAGAATAATTTTTTTTTAAACAAATAAGTTATATATGAAATGATATATATTACAAATTTATTTGAAATCAAAACCCTCGTTGTTTATTTGATTTTCATTTTTCTGCATAAAAAACCCATTATCTCCCTAATTCAGTTTCCCAGAGCTGGAATAACCAAACTTAGACTCATGTACAACTAACAATACACACAGTACAACCACTGCAAAATCTTTCTCTGGATTTCACAATGTTTTCCCTTTAGAGAAGATTTACCTTTTCATTTAAAGTTTTAAACCCATTTCCATTCCCATTCCCATTCCCATTCCCTCACACTCTCTCTTTTCTGTTTTGCTCTCTATCTTCATCTTCTCCAACCTTCTTGTTCTTGTCCAAACATCACAACAATGGCTGCTCTGGTTGTTCTTATGCTCATCTTCTCCATGGTTGCTCACTCCAGTAAGCATTTCCTTTCTTCCTTCCATTTTTCCCATTTCCAAAAATGAATCAAATCAAGATTCAAAAATGAGGTCTTAATCCATAATACCCACCAACACCACATACAAAAACAACAAACAAGAGGTCTTGATCCATAATACCCACAAAAAAAGGACCTCCAAATGGTCTGATAAATCATTACACAAATCCAAAAAGAAACTGGTGCTTGCTGACTTGTACGTTGTGCAATGAAAGTTGTACATTACATGCTTAGCATGTATGTATATGTATATGCATATGTATATGTATATGTATATGTATGTATATGTTGTAATACAGACCTATCTTTAGTGTCATATCATGGTATCATGTAAAAGTCCCATATTTCTTGTGCTGGTCTTCAGAACCATAATGACTCATGTGTATATACATACATACATACATTTATATGTATAGGTGGAACATGGTGTGTGTGCAAGAAAGGTGGAAACGATAAGGTTCTACAGTTGGCAATAGATTACGCCTGTGGTAATGGTGCAGACTGCACCCAGACAAAACAAGGTGGCAAATGTTACAACCCAGATACCGTCACCGACCACTGCAACTATGCCGTCAACAGCTATTTTCAGGCCAAGGGTCAAGCCACTGGCTCATGTGATTTCAATGGTGCAGCCATGGTCACCACCACCGACCCCAGTCAGTCTTCCTGCACCACCTTATCTACACACTTTTTAATTTTTTTTTTTTTATAAATTTAATAATTTTCATTCTTTTTTGGGTATTTATAATTATGAACAGGTTCCAATGGTTGTACGTTTCCTTCTTCTGCCAGGTATGTTTTTTTCCCTAGTTTTGTGGGGTTTTTTTTCTTTTTTAATAATTATGGAGTATTTATTAAATGATTTATATTAAAATCAAGAAAAAAAGGGTTATTTGAAATGGGCCCATTAAAGCCTCATGCTCAATAAATCCTCTTTAATCTTGCGCTTTTTGACAAAATCTAGGTTATGGGCTTTATTATCTTTTTGACTATATGAGGATCCAATGCTTATGGGTGTTTTGAGATTGCTTATAAAAATAATTTATTAACTTATTTTAGTGTGACACCGGTAATAATTAATAAGCATTTTTGAGTGTTTGAATAAACATCTTATACCAGTGTCAAACCGGTAATAAGAAGTTTTTGAAGAAGTTAAACTCTTTTGACTTATAATAAGTTGATAAATGCTTTTGTAGAAAAACATAAATTGTTTCAAATAAGCAATCTCAAACACCCGGTTTTGTAACCATGTGGAGCTACACGATTGGTTGTTTATCCTAGTATGGCAATTGGGTTGTACCTTGTTCTTCTGGAGTTGTACCTTATATGACAAATAATAACTATCAAGCAGACCATTCTCAATAATTTTGATACCATCTTATGCATTAAATGTTGTATTCAATTCACAAGCTACTTTCAGGCTTCCTAATTTAGAGACCGTATTTTCTTTTCAATCGTTTTTAGAACATATTTAACAGATTCTTTATTTTAAAGATTCCAACATTCGTTGTATTATTAAAATGTTCGTATTATTGTTCAAATTAATTTTTCTAACATGTTATCACTAGTCATTTTATTTTATTTTTAATTTATTAGTTAATTTTTACTTAACATGACTAGTTTATCAGCTATATTAGTTTATCGGTTAAATCTGATAACTGCTTCTAACTTTTGAAAAAATCTCCCATCAATAAATTTGGGAGGCTTAGATAAGATGAAAAAGCAAAAGCAAAAGTTGGTTTTGATCAAAAACAAACGTTGGTCCTTTTTATAGAAAAGCAACGTACAACTTTCATTGCATGAAATACAACCACTTACAGCAATCCATAGGACCTAAATTTAAAATGCATCGCACCAAATTGGATTGTTCCCCCTTTTTTATGTTTCCTGTCTGTGGGACCACAGTGGAATTTTACATATATATATATATATATATTGAATTCGTTTGGTTTGATTGATGTGCATTTGTTGCAACCATGGATGTAGTGGTACAACCGTGTCAACTTCACCTGGCAACACGAAAACACCGGGTTCAACAACCGTGACGACAGGCGGCACCACCACTTCTCCTTACGGCAACCCAACCAACACCGGTGTGTTGGGTGGTGGAATCGGACCAGGGATGGGACCATCGGGAGCCGGGATCAACACAGATGTTAGCCATGGGTTCAAGCTACATCAAGAAACCAATAGTTTTGTTTTGTTGGCTATTATATGTTCAGCAGTGATTATGCTTTTGTGGGGTTGATGAATTATGTACAAGTGGGTAATGCATGCAGGAAGGGTAGGTACAAGTGGGTATTGCATGTATGTGTTTGTACTAGTGGTATTATATTTTTATATGATGGTTGTAGGATAGAGGAAGCTTGCATTTTGACTTTGGGAAACTGTTGAGGGTCTATATTTCTTTTTGGTGTACCTTCCTTTAATTTAATTTCATTACTCTTGTCCTATTGAATCTTTAAAAATAAATTAGATAAAAGCTTCTCCACCGTCAGATCTTATGTGATATATCCCCCACAGTATGAAACAGAGGGAGAGATACACCTTTTCATAACCAGCACTGATCATTGCCAGTGGGTCCAACTTCATTCTCTACCGTTGGATCATCATTCAAAATGGATGGCACACATGACGTGGAAAAAACTCATCGTGGAAACCCTACTCATTGATAAATATAAACCGATGGTAAAAATATTATCAAGGTTTTGGTGTAAAAAGAACGAAGAAAATAGATCAAGAATGAACAATTTTTTAGATTAAAATTCTGAAATTAGTGCAGTCATGGTTGCTGGTGTGACCGGGTCGGTAGGGCTGGCTATGTGAAAAATAAGAAATCATTGATGCTGAAGGCAGGACTTGAATCCAAGACCTCCACATTGCTAACCCAACGCCTTAACCAGTAGATGTTTAAGTTTTAGAAATTCCATTTAACCTCTTAAAGTTTCAGAAACATAATTTTCTCTATGATAATTTTCATCAAACTTTCATCAAATTTTATTTGAATTTTGTAAATTGCAAATCTTTACCTAATTTCTTATTTATCTTATTTAAGTACCAAAATGACCCTATACATAGGAAATCAATTTTTAGCAATACTTTACGTATTTGCTTTATAAAATTATCGAAATAACCCTATGTCTTGGAAATTGATATATAAGCTTCAAGGGCTGTTTGGCAGCTGCTGAATGATTTAGTGCATAATAGTTAAGAGGTTAGAATGGTTAAGAGGGTCAGAATGGTTAAGTGCTGAATGAAATAATGTTGTTTGGTAACTGTTCTCTGAATGACAATAAATTACCATTTTAACCCTCATCTAACAAAAACCCATTATTCGAATTCGATTCAACTTCATCCGAATCATGGGAAGCCTCATGATTCTTCTTCTTCTTGATCTTCAAAATCATCTTTTTCATACTTAAAAACTCTGGTAAAAAAACATGGGTTCTGATTCAAACTCCCTTCAATGGCTTCCATTAATCCAACCCTAGAATCATTTAATACCCCCTTTGAAGAAGAACTGCCATGGTTAACAAAAGACGACGCCATCTCCCACGCCATCAAACCGGAGACGATAAAAGTCGCCATGACCGCCGTCGCAGTCGTCCAATCCTTCGCTGAAAGAACAAATTTCAAGGTTCTGTATACTGTATGTCGCAGGCTATTTGGTACCATGAGGTTCCATCGACGACCCCTGAAGTCTTGTGAGGAGGTCGACATGTACAATCGATTTCTTTTTAGGGTTGAAAAATTGGGGTTTAATTTTGATGGGAAGGGAAGCGACGACGATGAATTGAATGAGGGATTTTGGTGGGTAAAGTGGGTTGTGATTGAAAGTGAAGAGGAGGAGCTTGAAAGTGGCCAGCCAAGTGAAGAAGAAGGTGGCGACGGCGATGGTGAAGGCAGATGAGAGGAGGAGGGGAAAGATGGTGAGAAGGTAGAAGATGGGGAGGAGGGAGATGAGTCTGTAAATGGGATGAGACGACGGGGAGAGCGACGGGATTGAGTGGGAGGAGGAAGGATCGTGGGATGAGTAGCCGGCTGGAGAAGTGGAGGGTAAAAATGGAACAACTTACATCTGAACCATTTAGGAGCACCTTAAACACAGAACCGTTAAGAGGATATTGTCACCATTAAGAGGTTGTTATTTTTTTGCCAAACAGCTTCTGCCTCTTACCGATTAAGAGGCTCCCTCTTAATGTCACCATTAAGAGGGAAACAAACAGCCCCTCATTCTTATATTATTATCTTTATAAAATTAACAAAATGACCTTATATTTGGAAATCGGTATTTTAATAATATTTTATGTATTTGTTTTATAAAATTACCAAAATGATTCAATGTCTTGGAAATTGGTATCTAAATGTTATTTTGAATATAATCCTTATGAAATTACCAAAATGACCCTACAATTTGGAAATCGGTATTTTAACGATATTTTACGTATTTTCTTTATAAATTATCAAAATGACCTTATGTCTTGGGAATTGGTATCTAAGTTTTATTTTGAATATAATCCTTATGAAATTACCAAAAATGATCCTACAACCTGGAAATCGGTATTTTAGCGATACTTTACATATTTCCATTATACATTACCGAAATGACACTGTCTATTGGGAATTGGTATCTAGGCTTTATTTTGATTATTATCCTTATGCAATAACCAAAATGACCTCACAATTAGGGAATCGGTATTTTAGCAATACTTTAAGTATTTGCTTTATGAAATTACCAAAATGACCTCACAATTAGGGAATNGTATTTGCTTTATGAAATTACCAAAATGACCTCACAATTAGGGAATCGGTATTTTAGCAATACTTTAAGTATTTGCTTTATGAAATTACCAAAATACCCCTATGCTTTGGGATTGAACTTTTTAAGCACAGTTTTAATATTCGATTTCTGAAAGATACCATGAATGTTCTAAACTAAGGAATTGGTTAAAGCTATACCTTTGGTATTCGGCTTCTTGAGACTACCGAAACGCCCTAAGACTTGGAAAAATTGTATTCTAAACATTATTTCGAGTATTTAATTATGTTAAACTTTAAAGTTATGAATGACTATTATTTATATGTGTGTGACGTTTTGTCGCCATTATTCACTTGCAAATTATAAAAGAGATGTTTTGACCATAAAATATTATTTACGTTGCAAACTATTTAGTTTAGCTATTTTGGTAAAATATTTATTGTTCAAGAAAAATGTGGAGTGTATTGCACATTTTTATAAAATGTATGAGCATCAATTAATATTATAAATACTTCATTATAAATAATATTTCAATAAAATATTTGAGCGAAATATGAGATACGATGGTATTAGGAGTTGATCAATAAAAATTGTTAAGACAAGTCGTGTTAAGATTGTTAGGGAATAGTGATCAATTTAATTATGATTATTTAAGGTGTTTAGGAATGATATAAATTATCATGTAGGTTGCGGTTTTGAGAGAACGACCTATCGAACGTTAATGATTAAAGATGAGTACATTATGCAATTTTTATGGGACATATACATGATTATTATAAAGTATTTTATCCATGGTATTTGTATGATATGTGTATATGCATATGATAATAACTTAATTGTATTAACATACATAATATTCAAGTATATGCATGATATAAAAAATGATGATGATGAGAAAGATTATGATGACTTGATATTATTAATATGATATTCAAGTACGTGTATATGTGAAAGATGATGATGATGCCTATGTGATTTATGTTGCCACTTGCATGAGATGTATATTGCATGCCACAATGAGATTTGCATTAATGAGTGAGTATTGCAAATAAATGATATGCAACATGTATGATTCGAAAAGATTCGTCCACTGTACGGGATGTGTTGGACATGAAAAAAGGGCTTGCAATTCTGAGGTCTTAGAGTCCTCGTCCATAGAATACGCCACATACGCAAAGAAAAGTGTCAAGCCAAGGCCTCACTTGCAAGATAATAATTAAAATACGTTAAACCAATATTATGTGTGCATGTTATCACGAAACCATATTGTATTCACTAAGCTTTTAGCTTATACTATACATGTATATATCTCAAGTGTCGATTGTCACTAGATGGTTCGAATAAAGAAAGTTTGGACTATGTTCTATATCATGCTTGATTAGATATATTAATTAACATTGATTACGTTACACTTCCGCAATTATGTAATGATAAACACATGATGTATGTAAATTTTTTAAGTCCGTATTTTGTTCATGACATAAATTATTAAGAATGACGTCACGACACTAAAAAAACGGGACGTGACATCCTACTATTTAAATAGCATAATAGTTTTTGAAGGACAGAATATGCAACTCATGTATGTAGTTGCTACATATCTCTATATGAATCGATATTTAGAGATACACATATGAAAGTACCTGATGGCCTTACATTAACCAAGTCAAGCAACTCCAAACCATAAAGTGCATTTGCAAATAAACCGAAATACTCACTTTATGGATTAAAGTGAACCTAGAAGAATATAGTGTACCTGTTTAAGTGAATACTTGATTTAGGAAGGGATATAAGAACATTAAATTGGGCCCTTGCGTATTTATAAAGAAAACGAGTTCTAGATTTTCAATGGTAGCTTTATATCAATGATATGGACATAATACACTCTTGATGAAATAAGAGAAACCACAAGCTACTTGAAATCTGAATTTGAGATGAAAAATCTTAGCAGAACTCGATTTAGTCTACTAGTTATTTGAGATAGGACACCGAGCTTGTGGAATATTGATTCACCGATCCACATATATCTAGAAATGATCAAACAATCTAATATGGACAAAGCGCATTCGACTAGCACTCCCATGATCGGTTGAAGTGTTGGATATCAGAAAATATCCATTTCGTCTAGAGGATGATGATGAAGAGATGTTGGGAGCTGGAAATCCGTATCTAATTACAATAATGCACCTATTATACTTATCACAATGCAATCAACCATATATTGTATTCTCAATAAACTTGTTAGCTAGATTTAGCTCAGCGTTAACGCAATGTCATTGGAACAATATAAAAAATATCTCTAGATACCTAAAAGGAGCCATGGCTCGAGCTTCTTCTTTCCCTACAGAGGTAAAATGAAATTGATAATGGAATTTCAATACTTACAAATGATGTAACGACAAAGTACCAGCCCTTGTATAAAACATCAAATAAATGTCTTGGTAGGTTTTGTTGATATCTGGTATGCCTCTGACTCATACAAATATCGATCCCAAATTGGATAAGGATTTGGCATGGGGAACATCACGATTGTTTTGAATTCAACCAAGCAAACATTTCTAGCTACCTCCTCGAACTACTATGAGGTTTATTACTATACATCAGACAATTTTAAGATTGGTATACTTTTTTTTTTTATTAACCTGGATATCCAATCCGCTATGTGAGCCAACTAATCCCAGGGCGACCACCTGC